CTTCCAGATAAAAGGGATTAAGGCTGGTGATTATGGGAGGGACAAAGCTCCTGGCAGCCTCAGAGGCCAACAAACGATGTGGGTAACATCATATACACGGGGCTCCTATCAGTTTGAAAAGCCCACCCTCTCAGCACCGTGCGGTGTTCATTAGGGGCCCGCTGCCACACAGCACAGAAATCATTTATAACGAAGTCAGCTCTGGGGTGGAAAATGAGTCTTAGCAAGAACCCGGCAAAATTTCCATAACCTCCAAACGGTTAATAGTTTGTTTCAATTTCAGATAAAATTGTTCTCATTTATTTGCGGGACCATCATATGGTTTTTACCACATGCTGGAACTTCTTCAGCAGAAATCTAAACCTAGCTGAGACAACTCTTTTTTTTCCCCCAATTTATGCCGAAAAGGTTCGGATGTTAGAAAACAAAGAAGGATCCCGATTACCAGTGGCTGTAAGCTGCTGCGGTTACTTCATTATTGACACATTCCTGAATCAGTAATGTTTTGAAATCCAGCCAGTTATAGCCAAACCATCATCCCTTTTTAGAAACAGCACTCTCCCAGTTTTTCAGCTAGAGGGGACGGTTGCACAACGTCGAAAATGTGCGAAACGTTACTGGACCGTGCACTTGAAAACGGCTGGTTTCACGTTACGTTGACTTTTACCTCGATGAAAATAAAATTATTTTCTCTTTTGAATGATCCAGAGTTAAGCTTAATAGAGAAAAAGGCTTCCCGCCAAGTACTAGGGGATGAAATCCACGCCCCCCCCCACCATCCGCAGTTAACCCAAAGCTCTGTTAACAATACACAATTTAGCAGCACCTTTTATCTTGACAGAATTCAAAAGATCCATGGGAGGTTTTTTAATAATTATAAAAAGCACTTAATCGTCATTTCAGTTACTGCAAAAACTACTACATAAAAAGCCAACTGTTATCTGTATTCTTTCCACCCCAAGGAAGAGAACAATTGAAACCACATGACTTAGAATAATGGCTGGCAGAACTCCACCTCTGAAGTCTACAGAGGTGTCATTACTCCATTAGCCATAATGGCTATTGATCTAGCCTCCTGTAAGGGCCAGTAGGAAAAACACAATATTTAAGATAGGAAGAAGTTTCAACTATATTGATTCCAGAAAGACTTTTTTTTTTTTAATAGAATTAAGATGGGCTTTTGCAAGCAAACCCCCTAATCCGGTCACTTCCAAGATGAGGAGCCCAGAAGCTTTTCTCCCTCCCCAGACAAATACTAGTAGCCTACTTCGATTATTAACCTCCCGATAGGCTATTAGAATCCGAAGGACAGGACAGAACCGTCTAACAAGAAACATCTAGGTGTTTGTTCTCTCCCCCCTTATATGGAAGAATACACACTTCTTTTAAAAAACTAAACTGTAGGGCACCTGGGTGGCTCAGTTGGTTAAGCCTCCGACTTTGGCTCAGGTTGTGATCTCTCTATTCGGGAGTTCGAGCCTGGCGTCAGGCTCTGTGCTGACAGCTCAGAGCCTGTTTCAGATCTGTCTCTCCCTCCCTCTCTCTCAAAAATAAACAAACATTAATAAAAAAAATAAACTTTGAGAGTGCCTGGCTGGCTCATTTGGAAGAGTGTGTGACTCCTTCTCCTGGGGTTGTAAGTTTGAGCCCCACACTGGGCATAGAGATTACTTTTAAAAAAAAAAAAAAAAAAAGGAAAAAATCCAACACTAAACTTCCCTTTCTTCCTTCCCAAAATACTGCATGCTGATTTTCATTTCTATTGTGTCAGATCACCCACACACAACTTATTCCTCTGTACAGGCCCCAATGACATTATTAAGATAATTTCATTAAATGCAAATAAACTTAATCACTATTAGGAAGACTTTAGCCTTGGAAGAGTGCTCACTTGAGTGACAGGACAGAGTATTTTTCTCTGTGTCTTTCTGTCTTTCCCAAATTCTCCATGAGATGATTCTCATAGACAGGGGAGGAATCCAAGTTTTCGGAACAGTTACTATTTTCGAGCACCTGCTACATTTCTTAATCCTCACAACTTTTTCAAGGGGATATTGACCTATTTTACAGATGAGGAAAATGAGAGTCAGAGGTAAGCACACTTCCTCAGTAAGTGTGTTTGAGGAAAGGTCTGCTTTATTTTACAAGTGCCCTTTCCTCCACACCGACAAGTACCAGAAGCACAAGAGAACTTTTGCCTCGTGTTTTGTAACCAGTTCTCACTAATGTTACTGAAAACGACCCCGCAGGAAGTCAGAGTTTTTTAAGATTTTTATTAACACCTGCCAAGTTAATAATCTGCAATAAACCCAAGCATACAGCCCACCCCAGCACTATGATTGTGACATATTCTTGCTTAAACTTCTATCTTTATTCCACTATTGTCGAATTTTAACAATGAGACAAATGTTTAAAAATACAAACGTAGCTTATAAACTTTTGTGAGTCAACTAGAAATTGGAAAACCAACTGGCATATCTAGAGGTCACTGCTTTGTATGCCTAAAGGTAAATAATATTCTTATTTTTTGGACCAGTTCTTATCTGATGGATAAGATGGAAGTGCTCAATTCCACCTGCTTATCTGCTAATTTCTGCATTACCTTGGACAAATGCCATTTGCATACTCCCTACCAGCCCTTAGGTGCATTGCAGCCTCTGTGTCATTGTGTGACATCACTGGGTTGCTATGGATATAGGTGCGAGGTCACTCACTTTCCTGTGAAACTAGAAATATGGAAAAATTAGAAAAGTCTAAGTAACATGAACTAAACATATTTCCAACACTAACATCTATTAAAAGCAGAACTTCTCATTTGAGCTTTAGAATGTTTTACGGTAGCATATGTGGCCAATACATTAATACAGCAATACCCCCCATTTCAGAATCAAGTCTCTTCCTTAAGGAGATAAAAATCTTTTTTTGGTAAAGTAGCTGGCTTAAATAAAAAAGCAGCGGCATTGTTATCTTTTATGAACTAGCAAACTTGTTCAGGAATTAATCTGGGATATCTACGTTGCTTCATTAAAAAAAAATTGAACACGCAAGATACACTCCTGAATCCACTTCACGCTGGAGATGCATTTTAAAAACCTTTGTTACATAAGACAGGAAGTTAAATGTTAAGACAGTGGGAGACCTAAATCATTAACCAGAGAATTTTCCATGTTTGATTTCATAATGCTCAATATTAGCCCCTCCTCTAATATCAAACTCCTCGATAGCCCATTAGATAAATGTAGGGTTACTGAAAATGGTGCAATACAGGCAGGAATCTGCATCCCAGACAAAATGCGACAACTGGTGATCAGTATTCCCTTTTCATCAGCATGAGGATGCGCTAGCTTTTTTTTTTTTTTTTTAAGCCTCAAATGTATCTAACAAAACAAATTATTTTAAAAAAAATCTTTTTTCTCCTTTAAAATTAACTCCTCCCAGCCTCCACCCAGTCTAGGCTCTCTGCAATATGACAAATGCAGAATCTTCTAGAATGACTTGATACTGCCTCCCACCACTGCTTTGTTTGCAATATCAGATCAGAGGGAATATTTTTTTCAATTTAGAGGAATTTCAACAGATGTGTGCCTGTATTTTAAAAAAAACGGCCATTTGTCACAAATTAAGCCTGTCAGCTAAATGCATAACCTTTATTTTAAAGACATTACCTACCCTTTTCAACACAAAAAACATTAGGAAAAAATGGAGATGACATGTCGAGAACGATCAATGAAAACACTAGCGAGAAATACGTTCCCCCCAAGGGTATAGAGAAAGAGAAGCCTTTTGTTAAGAAAAACGTGAGAGCAGCAAGGTTTCGGTTTTGCACCATTGAGCCCACGTTTTCAGGAGAGCCTACGGTTTTTTTCTAGGGAGGTTCTAAAGAATCTGTCAGGAGAGGCAATGGGGAAGATTTGGGTGGGGGGTTGGGGGGGTATTAGAAAACCAGGAGACCTGATGAGTGAATGGGAAAGGCGCCGCCCAGACACCAGGGAAAGAAAGAGGAACCGCATCCATGCGGTCCCCCCGCCCCCACGCCCAGGCTGGGAGGAGGGGAAGTGGGGCACAAAGGATGTTCACGGCCCCCGCTCAAGTCCCCAGCGGACCCGGAGACGCGGGGGCCAGAGACCCCGATCCCGAGACCAACCCTGCAAGATCCCGCCCCAACCGGAGTCCGGGGAGGGCCGAGAAGACAGCGCCGCCGGCCCGGGGGGACGCTCGGGGAGAGGCCGCGTCACAAACCGGGTCTCTAACGCTGCCGGGGCCCTGCCCAGCTCCCCGAGTGGGTGGGGAGGGGCAGCCAACGCTGCAGTCGCGAATGGCGACTAGTCCCTGAGCGGTCCACGCGAAGGCCCGCGTCTGCGAAGGGGCTGGGGCGAGGCGGGGGGAGGGGAGGAGAAACTCACGTTCTTCATGGCCGCGGCCATGTCGTCGTAGCGCTCCGCCTGCTCGGCCAGCCGGGCTTTCTGCACCAGTTGCTCGCGGTCCACCATCTTCGCGGGCTGGATCGGGCCGGGTGAGGAGACCGGGACGGCCTGAAGGGCTCGGAGGGCGGCTACGGCACGGTTGGAGCCCGTGTGTCGGAGAAGACCGACCCACGAAGCGAGCAGCTAAGCGACGGCGACGGCGGCGACACGGAGGCTGCGGATTGAGCTGCGACCGCGGGACCAGGCGCAAGGCGGCTGCGGCTGCTGTGCGTGCCGCGGGCGGACAACCCCCTGCGGCCCCGCCCACGCCGCGTGACGCAGACGGTCCCGCCCACCCGCCCGCGCACCCCGCCCCGGCCCCGCCCCTCCCGCCTCTCGGGCTTCCCCTCCCCAACTCAGCTTACCGTAGCTTTCTGGGCGTCCCTCTCTCCCTCTCTACCCCTGCCAGTGCTCCCCGTTCTTCACTTCACCCCGGTTCCTGCGCCTCAGCTTCTCCAGATTACCCCCCCCCCACCTTGCCCCTCACACCCCCCGCCCTGCCGGGTGCCCAGCGCGTGGGCCCCTGGGAGTCGTAGTTTGCGCAGCTGTGGGGTGATATGTTGGAGACATCAAGGACAAAGGGGCGGTTAGGACTACACCTCCCATTGGTCATAGCGCGCGAGCGGAGGTGAAGGGAGGGGGTTCTAATTCCGCGGCCACTGGGGACCCCTGGCGGGGACTGAGGCTGCTTCAGTCTTAGCGAGTGCTGATTCACGGCCCCGCCCCGTATTCACCGAGAAATTACGACGGGTGGGGGCCAAGACCTCAGCCCTAGACCCTGTCTCAGAGATACAGTAGCAGCAAGCCAAGGAGGGTCAGAGGAGAGGACTCGCGTCTACCTTAGATACAAACTTGCCAGGGTAGTGCCCGCCCGCCGGTGGGTTGAGTCATGGAGTTTAATATTGAGAGCTAAACTGTCACCTTCCCCCACAGGCTTCCATTTCCCCACACCCACTTTGAGGTTCTTGGACGTGATGAGGTGAAAACATGGAAGGACAAATACTGGCGAGGCATACTGGTTAATTTACAGAAAGGATGCAGCTGTCTGCAGGCTGACCCCTGGGGAGCTCCTTCTTCCTCTCCAGGGTGGAGTGTCAAAGGTTCAGTTCTGTTGCCAAGAGCCTACTGTATGCTTAACAGAGGTTATATCTGAGCGTTGATCAACCCTTCTCTCCCCACCTAAGACCTACACACTGAGGTCAGGCTGACAAATTCTTGCTCATATGCTTCCATTTTCAACATTCCCTGTAGCTTACACATCCATAGTTTTGACTGCACATTTTATTTGCTTCATGTTTTCCCCAACGATTATCTGTTGAGCGCCTACTGTGTTCCAAGCATTGTTCTAAGCAATGGGGTACAGCAAGGAACGAAACAGAAAAGCCCCAAGACACCCCCTCCCCAAATAGGTAAGATAAATATGTAGAGTATGTTAGGAAGTGATAAGGAGTTAAAACAACAACAACAGGATATGAAGTGTTGTGTATGAGAATCTAGAATGAAGGAATCTCTGAAGGAATATTCCAGGCTCTATGCTAGATGGTAGAGGAAGAGGGCACAGAACCCTGCCCTCAAGGAATTTAGAATGTTTTAAGTGTTGTTAAGTTTTGTTTGTTTTGTTCGTTTGCTAATTCTTTCAGGCTGGTTAGGAAGAGGTTCTGAAAAGCTTCTCCAGGGAGGTTGGTAACATTTCCAAACCTGCTCTTAAAGGATGTGTAGCATTTGAGAGCCTGAAAAGGACACACAGGCAGCAGGACTCAGAGGCACGTTTTTTCCCTGACATATTTATTGTTAGGCAAAGAATCCAAAGTGTTTGTTGCCTTAAGTGATGGGGAGTGTGGTTGCGGATGGAGTCGGGAGCCAGAACAGGAGGAGCCCTGAATGGCCAGCAAGGGAGTGAAGTCCTTATCCCAAAATAAATAGGAAGCCTGTGAGAGATTTTAACAAGAGCAGAAAATGATGAGATTTGCATCCTGTGTCCATCATCGTGGCCTCCTCCACAGCGCCGCACAGCGCCTGGCACGCAGTAAATCTGTAGAACATATGATGTAAAGAAGTGAATTAATGAATGCATGCGCTTCAGGGAGGCTGCCCTGGCAGAAGTGGAGGAGATGCACTGAGTGGGGAAAAGGTCTAGAAATTGCTCTCCCCACCACCGATATGACATCTGGCCCCTTCTCTCACTACAACAACTCAGCAAAATGCAGTCCTGCTGGTGAATAAACTCTCCCCCTTCCTCTATCTCTTACATGAGTGTTCGCCAAGTCATTCCTCTTCCTCTCTCGGGCATCACAGGTCCGTGGCCATGAGTCCTCATAGCCAACCCGGCTTGTCCTTATGTGCGTTAAATGTGTCAATGATTCAGGCCCCAGATGCACAATCTTGGGAACTTCCTGGCTCATTTTCAGACTGCCTCTCTGACCTCGCCACGTCAGTTCCTTCCCCAACCAGTTCAATGTGCATTAAAATAATAATAATAATAATAATTATTATTATTATTATTATTATTTTGAAAATCCAGGCCAAATCTGGTAGGGAAAAGAAAGCAGATGCAAAGAAAAGGATGTTCCGAAGCCAAAGAGGAATGACATCTGCAGTCCCACATCAAAGCTTCCCTCCAATGGTGCAGGGGAGAGCTGGCCCTGCCCTCCTTTCCTTTTTGATTTTTTTTTAAAGACTCTAAGCTTAAAGCTGCAGCAGCCCAGCCGCCCCTGGCTGTTGAGAAGGCTGCTTCAGAAGTATAGCGACATTACACACAGCAAATGGCTTATTCTTCTGGCTTCTCTCTCCACTGCCTGCTATTGCTGAAAAACACCTGGAGCAGGGAAGTGGAAAACTAGTATCCTGGCTTCTGCCTGCTCCCCTCCCCCCAACCCACCGCTCTGTGTGCAAAGCCTGCCCCTTCTCAGGGTTTTAATTTCCCCAACTGTGAAGTGAGAAATCAAACTGAAGTGAGCTCTCAACGCCCCGCCCAAGACAAAGTTCTAGATTCAGCCTGTTCCCCTTCTTTAGCTATGGCAACAGGGAATCTGTACCTGCAGACCTGGGAGATGATTCAGTCCCAAGGGTTGAGAGGCTCAGAATCATCCATGTTTTGTCCACCAGGAAGCTGAGACACGGAGAGGCTGTATGACCTGACAAAGATCACACATCAGTGACTGAGAGCCTGAATTCAAACCCAGGAAGATCTTCCAGGCTCCCAATGGCAAGGACACCCTTCCCTGCCGGGGCTGTGGGGATCTACCCTTCGGCATCTGCTCAGGAAGGGAGGGGCCTCGCCCTCTGGTGATGGGCCTGACCCAAGAGCCCTGAGCAGACACCCTGTAAGGCTGACCCTCTGCCCCACCTCCGGTACTGGAGGACATGACCTTTAGATGCATGCTCTCTGGCTGAGCTGGCAGACAGGCAGGCCCCGCCAGAGACATCAGTGTCCTGCTGTTTCTGTGTGGTCATAAATCACTGCAGTCCCATCCCCTGGCTCCTGGCTTCCTCCTGCGGCTAGAAAGCTCCCTGATTGGTGGGGAGTCAGCAGCAGCAGCAACATCTTCTGAAATGGACAACATTCCCCTTCTTGTCCTCTGGGAACACTTCCCTGTCACCCTCCTCGCAGGTTGGGCTGTGATGGGGCAGAGCACATCACAGATTCAGAAGCAAAGGACAAGAAGAAAATCTCAGTGGGTTGTCCACCCTCCTGAGGAGAGTGGGGGCAGTGAAGGAAGCCTTTGCCGGGAGGCAAGACCCACAGGTTGAAGCCTTGACTTTCCTATTGATCTTGCTGGGTGACCTTGAGCAAGTCACTTGACCTCTCTGGGCCTCAGACCATCCATAAAAGAGAAGAATTGGGTGGATGCTTCTTAAGATCTTCCAGCCTGTAGCAACGGCCTGTCAACTGGTCTGCCTCAATGTCTTCCTAGCCTCTCCGGTAAAAGATCTGAAAGATCTGGGGCGCCTGGGTGGCTTAGTCGGTTAAGCGTCCGACTTTCGCTTAGGTCATGATCTCGCGGTTCGTGGGTTCGAGCCCCGCGTCAGGCTCTGTGCTGACAGCAAGCTCAGAGCCTGGAGCCTGTTTCAGAGTCTGTGACTCCCTCTCTCTCTGACCCTCCCCTGCTCACGCTGTTTCTCTCTCTCTCCTAGACTCTCTCTCCTAGAAATAAATAAAAACATAAAAAAAAAATTAAAAAAAAAAAAAAAGATCTGAAAGATCTTTCCAAATATATATCCCATCTTCTTCCCTTGCCTTGGCTCCACCACACCTGTCTCTTCCCATTGCTTATGGGCCAAAGTCTCTTTGCTTTAGCCTAGAGTTAAAGGCCTTTCCTAAGGGCCCCTACCTTCCTCTCTAGTTGTGTCTCTCCCAGGGCACTCGATTGGTATTTCCCAGCCATGTAGCACCCTCTTCCATCTCTGGGCCTTTTCAAAAGCTGTTCCTTCTGCAGGGAACTCCTACACCTACCCCCATTCAATCCTTACCTATCTTTCAGACTCAGACACTGTAAGGTAAACTGAACTGCTCCCTCCTGGAGCCCCCACTGGCTCCTATGCTACACATTTCCAGCAAGGGGGTTAAGTCGCCTTATTACCCTTATATGCATGAGTCTGCCTTTCCTTGAGGTCTTACAAACGGATTCCTTTAAGACAGAGACCCATCTGAGTCACCTCTGAGCTCCAAGCCTAGCATGGAGCAGGTGTTCAGGGCAGTTTGGTTCCAGGAAAGGGACTCTCTGCTTCGAGAAAGGATTGACCCAGTGATGGTCTAACCTCTTGAGGATTTGAAAAGTTTTACCCCAAAAGCAACGGTCACGACCAAATTGCAGCAAAAACGCAGGAAAGCAGAACAGTAAGCAATCCCAGGAGCCAGTAGGGACACAGCCAGAAAGGATACTTTTGAAGTGCATCCACACAGGATTTCAAAGAAGGGCCTGTGGACATGGGGGTCACTACCAGCAGAAATTCTCTGTTCTGACTCCCTGGCAGCTGACCACTCCTCACCAAACTGGCTTCCCTGTTCTCAGACCCAACTCTCAAATCCTGTAAAATCTCCTATAAAGAGGAAGAGGTTGAACAGTCTAATATATCTTTACTTTTTTTTGAAGATTTCATTTTCTTTTTTTTTTTTTTTAAGGAATCTCTACATCCAGTGTGAGGCTTGAACTTATAGCCCTGGGATCCAGAGTCACATACTTCATCAAGCAAACCAGCCAAGTGCCCCTGATATAGCTTTACATTTTTAAGTTTTGCATTCCCCTAAAAAGAACCAACTTCAAAATTTACCACACCAATGGAAGGTCTGTCACAGGAAAAAAAAAAAAAGTGTCATTTTCCCAAAGAAAGAGATAAACTGTACCATTCTCAAGAGATGGGCGTTCCTGAGGCACCTGGGTAGCTCAGTCAATTAAGCATCAGACTCTTGGTTTCAGCTCAGGTCATGATCTCACGTTTCATGAGTTCGAGCCTTGCATAGGACTCCACACTGACAGCGTGGAGCCTGCTTGGGATTCTCTCTCCCTCTCTCTCTGCCCCTCCCCAGCTTGCTCTGGTGCACTTTCTGTCAAAAAATAAATAAGTAAACCTTTAAAATAATAATAATAAAGGGAGGAAAAGAAGAGATAGGTGTTCCAGAGCAGAGGAGCCTGAGCTAGAATTTTCTCCCAAAACTCAGCTGTGTGAACTTGGGCCAAATGCTTCACCCATCTGGACCTCAGTTTCCCTACTGAATCTTTTTCTTTTTAAGTTTTTTTATTTATTTATTTTGACAGGGTGCTAGAGCATGAGTGAGGGAGGGGCAGAAAGAGAGAGGGAGAGAGAGGATCCCAACCAGGCTCTGCACTGTCGGTGCAGTGCACTACACAGGGCTAGAATTCATGACACAATTGCTCAACCGACTGAGCCACCCAGGTGCCCCTCCCCAGTGAATCTTAAAGAGAAATCTCCACCCTGCTCTCTGAATCGTATCGTGATACAAACATATTCTTTGACTTGGTAGAGGGGTCTGAAGCAGTGTTTTGATGCTTGGAACTCTAACGGACTCATGGAAAACTGATAGTGACTAGGCTGGTGGCCGCCCACCAATCAATCACATGGAGTGAGGTGAACCTTTCTGCCTTTGGAGGAGTGCAAGCTTCAGAGAGCCCACCAATTCCTGCTCATCTCAAGGAAGCAAGCTGTGTGGTGATGACATGAGCGGTTCTGGAGAGCTTGGGACAGGAATCAGAGGTCAAAGGCCAGCAGATAAATGCTGATTCTCAGCCTGGGTGGCCATCACTGCTTCCCAATACCTGGGGTTGGGGGAGTGTGTCTAGAATACAGAGTCCTAAGTGTAGCTTAGACATCCTGGGTCAGAATCTCCAATAGACGGGTCTGGGGACTTGTATGCTTTCAAAGCTCCCTAGGGGATTCTTCCTACCACCCATGGTCTGCCAGGGTACCCTCAAGAGCCCTGGCGACTTTGAAGGAGGCCAGGTTGGGTTGCCTGGAGAGGAAGTCAAGCGGCCATGAGGCCTTCTGATAGGTGGCGGGAGAGGTGGGGGAACTGGCATTTTCTCCTGTTGGCCTTTCTGCAGAGTCAGCCCAGCACTAATGCTTCCAGAGTGCAAATCCCACTTGATCATGTAACAGGAACGCTCGTGCTGACACAGCAGGTAGTCGGGAGCCCAGGCTGCACCAGGGGACAGACGCCCCGCACCAACTCCTCACTCCGAGCCCGGGGACAGGCAGGGGCCAGAGGCACTCCCTCCATGCCAAGCCTTGAGTGAGCCAAGACAACTCAGGAGCATGGGGCCCGCAGCGCGCTCTGGGTTTTGGGCCCAGCCAGACTTCCTCCCTGTCTTCTTGGAGTTTGGGGTTCGTAACTGGGAGGGACAGCCGAAGGACCCTTGTTAGGCCAAGAGAGGATTGCCTTCCTCATGCAGCACCCCACCTCCGGGCGGCAGCCCTGGCTAGCACACACCTCCGGCCACAGACTCTTCTCCTGAGGTCCCCCTTTTTCCGTGGGGCAGCACTCCTCTTCCAAGAGCACCTGCCCATTGCTCCTCCCTCATTCTGCCTCCTAGCATTACAAGGAAGAGAACACTTCTCTCCAAAAGCCTTTTGTGTGTAAGGCCAGAACACGCGAAGCCCTGCTGTCTCCACACTGGACAGCTTCCCCAGGAGTAGGTTTGCACATGTGCTTTTCTGCATCCGTAGTGCCTGATACGTGACCCAAATGGAGAGATGGCCAAAAAGACAGACGGCCAGAACATGCAGTACCGATTCCCTGCGCACAGAGGGCTCTGCGAGGCCTAAGGACCCTTCAGAACAAACAGGGGTTTGGTCTATAACCCTAGGGCAGCAGCGCCCCCACCCCCCACCTGGGACTCAGGTGCCCACATACATCAGAGTCTTACCTGGAGGTCTGTCATCAATGCTCCTCCCCCTAAGTCCTCACCTTAGTCTCTAATACTCAGATAGCAAGGAAAGGCCAATAAGTGAGAAAAAAAACAACAACAGGAGAGCAGATGTGACCGTTCCCATGCCCCTATAGACACTGGAGAACCCATCACACAGACAGGAATCCAAGGCACACTGAAGGTAAGTAACTCATTCAGGTCATACACCTGGCAAGTGGAGGCACTGGGTCAAAAAGGAGGTGCATGTGTCTCCTACTCCTTTTTTTTTTTTTTAAATTTTTTATTTATTTCTAGGAGAGAGAGAGAGAGACAGCGTGAGCAGGGGAGGGTCAGAGAGAGAGGGAGATACAGAATCTGAAACTGGCTCCAGGCCCTGAGCTGGCAGTCAGCACAGAGCCCGACGCGGGGCCCGAACCCACGAACCGCGAGATCATGACCTAAGCGAAAGTCGGACGCTTAACCGACTAAGCCACCCAGGCGCCCCATGTGTCTCCTACTCCTTATCCGCCCTCCAGAAGCACCACCTCAACGGAGAGGATTTCTTTTCTTTTTTCTTGTTTGTTTGTTTTTTTCCAGAGCCAATGAAGTCAGGTCTGACCCCTTACACCCAGGTGGGCCGATTTCTTTTCTATTTTTTCTTTTCTTCTCTTTTTAAAAATGTTTTTATTTAGTTTTGAGAGAGAGAGAGAAGGTGTGATGGGGGGAGGGGCAGAGAGAGAGACACACAGAATCTGAAGCAAGCTCTAGGTTCTGAGCTGTCAGCCCAGAGCCCAATGCAGGGCTCGAACTCACAAACCATGAGACCATGACCCGAGCTAAAGTCAGATGCTCAACTGACGGAAACATCCAGGCACCCCTCTTTTTTTTTTAAACACTTCTATTGTTTTCAATGTTTCTTTATTTTGGAGGGGGGGTGCCCACAGGCAGGGGGAGGAGCAGAGAGAGGGGAACAGAGGATCCGAAGCAGGCTCTGCACTGACAGATAGGGGGCTCAAAATTCATGAACCTGTGAGATCATGACCAGAGCTAAAGTTGGATGCTCAACGGACTGAACC